CTACACCACCACCACCACTGAATGATGATGAATTCCTTCTAGACATTTTATAATGTGTGTTCACAACAATGGAAAATAGAAATTATGATTGCTAATTATGTAGTATTTTGTTTCCTTGTTGAGATGATAATTGATGATGGTGATTGATGATGTTGTTTAAAATCTCTTTATCAGAGATTTATAATACAAATATTATAGAGTGAAAGAATATAATGGAGTGTGTTCTTGTACTCAATTCCTTAATAACAGTTCACTCACTTTTTTAATGGACTCTTAGAGAGAGAGTTTGTAATGTGGAGCACTATTAAGGAGATCATTTAGGGCAAAGACCTCTGATTTACAGTAGAACTGAATGTTAGTTTCATATATCAGAGAGAGATAGAATAATGACGGTGATGAATCACTCTCTCTATCTCTATACAGGATTGGTTGTAATGTAGTTGAAAAACAGTGCAGAAGAATCTTTTTCAATATATTTGTAAATATATTATACTTTAATATTATAACATCCATATTAGTAATGTTTATTGTAATACTATATTTAATTTTGGTGATTGAAAAATAATATATTCAGAGAATTACAAGTTAATTAAGAGAATCATCATCAAACCATATTATATTTATTGTTAACATTCAAAATTAATAGAAAATGGTGTTTTATCTTTATGAATTTCATTCTTTAATAATAATATTAAGAGTTATTGTTCAATCTATATGACATAAAGTGTGTTTGATTAATGGTATAATAATACATTGTTTCAATAGTGTGGACAAACAATATGACACATATTCTTATTAAGACTGACAATGTTCCGTACGAATATTCAAAGTTCTATTAAGAGTAATGCGTCAGAATGGGAGATTGAATATTTATTGATAACATTATAGTGTTGATCAATTCAAATGGTACAACTATTTAAACCTTAATCATTGACTTTTCATGTTACATGAGTTATTTCAATCAAAAGTTAATCATGATATATTTCATAATGCATTCAAGTATAGATTTTTAGGCAAAAGGAAAGAATTTTAAATCCAATTCTAAGGAGGTTTTAATAACCGCCTTGAACTGACTACCACCTCATCCTTATTGATAATGAATTCTTTGATTGGTCTTAAAGTGCCGAAGCAAATATGATTCGTGAATCCAAACAAGTATACTCAATGAATTGGTCTCTTCCGATTTTGAGGTTTATTGTCGTTAAATAGATGCCAATACACTTCTTTTGAATATTTGAAATCCTTAAAAAAAAGAGAATATTTCGCGCCAAAACGTGTACAATTTGTTACTTGTTACTAATTACCCAGCAATACTGAAGAAGAACTTATACAATAAATTCACTCTAATACTCCTACGAAGAAGCATTCATAATTAGACAATCATCATTAGTACTAGCATCATCTCTACTACAACTTCTCTAAGAAATAGTAAGAATGAATGGTGTTCAATTCGCCGTAACTAGTACTCCTCCTGTCATTACTAGTAATGGTGGTCAGCAACCCTCCTCCTCCAATCCTATTAATAATGGTGGAAGTAAATTGGTTATTAGTGGAGCAATTACAACATCATCAAGTAATACACAAATACCAACTATTAATTTAAATCATCCAAANTATGTTAATATTAATAATAATACAAATACTAACCATATTAATTCACCTCATCATATAAATAATACATTATTATTAATAATAATAATCATAATAATAATAATAATAATAATAGTATTAATATTAATAATAGAAGATTATCAAATATATCAAGTGATCCTAATATGAATAATGGTATGAATGAATCATATTTTGAATATAGAAATGAAACAGGTAGTATGATATCTAATAGTACAAATTCAATTTCTGATTTTTATAAAATATCATTATTTACTAAATTTGAAGAACGTTTATTTCTATTTTTATTATCATTACAAAATTTAAATGAAAAATCTAAAAAAAAGGAAACTTTAAAAAATATAATTTTAATATCATATTTTACATGGTCTATATTAGTAATGGGTATTCAACCAACATATAATTATGGTGAATATGGACAATGGATTGCAAGATCATTAAATTTTCCAATTACATTTGGATTTGATTACTTACCATATATAGTATCAATAATATTATCATCTATAATATTTACAATAATTGTATTACAATTTATATTATTATTAATATCATATAGAAGTGTATATACAATGAGTAAATATTGGAATAAAATTAAACAAGTAACAAGAATTATAAATGGAATTATTGGATTTTTTCATTTACCAATTTCATGGTTATTATTAGGATATTTAAATTGTGATTATTCAAGTAATGTTATTTTACAAGAAATGTCAATTGCAACTCCTAAACAAGTTTTATATAGATATCCAAATATTGCTTGTTATGGAAATATTAATTTATTATTTATGGTAATTGCATGTATTTCATTTATAATTATGAATTTAAGTTTAATTATAACTGTATTTACTATAACAGATAAAAATGTTAAAAGTAAAACAATATTTAATAGTTATAATATTACAACTTATTTATTAGATATTTTATCACAACAAGTATTTTATTTATTACTAAATATAGTATCTAAAGAATATTTAATTATTCAAGCTAGTTTATTTTTAATTATGAGATTTTTATTAACAATTTATTTTTTATTTACAATTCCATTTTATAATAGATTAGAAAATTCAATTTATTTTGGAGTAAATTGTGCTACAATTGGAAGTGCTATATCTGGTATTATATCTATATATGTTAATATTGAAAAAGATTATAATATTGGATTAGGATTAATTGGTATGCATATTGGTAGTATTTTATTATTTTTTATAATTGGATTAATTGGATTTGAAATTTATTTAAAAATTAAATTAACACAAATTAAAAATTTAATTATAAATCATGCAGAATCTAAAATGGAAAATGAAGATTTATTAAATGTAATTGAAAGAGAATCATGTTCAATTTTACAACAAATTGAAGATTTAAAATTAACAAATTATTTATATTTATATTTAAAATTTAGTACAAAATGTTTAAAAAATAATGAAAATGATTTGGAAATTAGTAAAAGTTTTGTAAAGGGATTATCATCACAAAAAACATTTCAAAATTTTTATATTTTATTAATTTCATCAATTTTATTAGGAAATTATTTAAATGATCAAGATGGATGTACAAAAGCATTATTATTATTAAAAAAAGGTAGAAAATCATCACCTAATTTTTTACAACGTTTATGGTTATTAGAAAGAAATAAAGAAATTGAATCATTAATTGATTTAGATGGTAGAAATGTATTAGATATTAAACATATATTACTAAAATTAGAAAAGAAACATTTTGTAATCATGACATTACATAAAGCATTTTGGAAAGAAATGTTACAAGAATCAATTTCAATTAATAAGATTGAAAGTTTAAACAAACAAATAACTTCTCTAACAAGAGAATGTGATATTATATTTAATGGTTTAATTGCTAATTATGGTAATAATAAGACTGTTTTAAGAACATTTGCTAAATATTTAGAAGAAATTAAATTTGAAAAGGAAAAGGCTTTTGACATGTATGATGAAGCCTCTTCTATTGAAGAAGAAGAATCTAAAAAAGTTACTACTTTATATTTACAATCAAATCAACAAGTTTTATCAAATAATCAATTTAAAAAACAATTTAAAAAGAAAAAAACAAAAAGAATTGTTCCAAATTTTAATTTAAATAATTCAAATAATAATATTAATAATAAAATAATAAATAATTCAATAATATTAATAATAATAATAATATAAATTTAAATACTAATAATAATAATAATACAAATGATACATATTTTAATAATTTAAATAATATTACATTAAATAATATATTATAATGAAATGTTAGAAAATAATTCTGATTTTGATGGAATTGAAAATTCACAATATCAAAAAAAAGAATATCAATTTAGAACATCATTAAATAGAGCAACAAATCATGTAACACATTTAATATTTTTTATAATATTATCAATATTATCATTTATAGTATTAACTATTGGAATTGGAATGAGTATTAGTTTTTCAAAAGAAATGACAAGTAATATTCAATTTTCATATTATCATTGTATGCCAACAGCAATTCCTAGATTTTTATTAAGAGAAGTTAGAACTCAACAAAATTTTATTTATTTATTTGATAAATATAAATCAAATATATTAAATTCAACAAATATATTAACATCAATACAATCTATTGATGTATTTAATCAAGAACATAAAAATAGATTACATTTATATAATAATGTTTTAAAAGAATTGACAGATATAGCAATTAATAAATTTACAAATGAAATGGTAAAAGATTATAGAAATACAATATATATATTATATTCACCTGTATTATATTATACAAATATATCAAAATCACCTTTAAATTATACACAAAGTAGAAATTCATCCATTTCTGAAATTACAGATTTATTAATTAAATATACAAATAATTATTTAGAATATACAAATTTAGATTTATATCAACAAACAAGTATAAATTCAGATTTTATGTTTTATTGGTCAAATAGAAAAGAACATTCAAATGCCTATGATGCATATTGTGATTTATTTTTAAATAGAAATCAACAATTAGTTTCAAATTTATCAAATCAATTTATTATTTATTATTCAATTTCAATTTCTATTTATATTATATGTGCTGCAACAGTTGTTGTTATTTCATTATATAATTTAAGACATTTAAGATCAAGTATTAAATTTATATCAAATACAATTAGTAAAGATATATTTGGTAAAATTTATCAATTATTAGATAAAAAAATAGATAAAGAAATTGATATTAAACAAATTAATTATTTATCAAAACCTCAATCAAGTATATCAATAGTTGTTTTAATTACAATTATTATTACAATTTTATGTATTACAATGTTTTTTATTGATATGCAATTAAGTTCTAAATCTGCTTTTATTGCAATTAATAATATTTCACAAGGTACAAATATATTAAGAACTGCTAATAGAATTTCATTTAGATTTTCAGAATTATTTACATTTTTAAGATATCCAAATAAATTTTGGATCAATGATGCTAGATTAATGACACAAAGTGAATTGGATAATTTTCATATACAAAATAAGGATTTAACTTTAATTATTAAATCTTCATGGGATATTTTATATTTAGATCATTCATTTGTTGATGTTTATGAAGATATGGATAATATTATATTTCCATCTAGAAATAATTGTTCTATTTATATTAATAATACTAAATTTAATAATTAAATAATACAACAAATAATTTAAATAATACAACAAATAATTCAAATATAAATAATATAAACAATTCAATAATGAAATATAAATGTATGGAT